TACAGGGACTGCTGTGTCAATAAGAAAGCATATTCTACTTTAGTGGTGTCAAATCACGACGTCTGGGCGATTAGCTTTGATTGTTCTGCCTGTGTGTATTGTAAAGTTCCATAAAATTGTTACAGGTTCTATGTCTGTAACCGGATCTGGGTGATATTCATACCAATTTCTTACAGTTTCCTTTCCGTAAACGTTGCATATTTTCCAAAGCAGAAATTGGCCCACTCTATCATGCCGTGTTTTATATTCAGTGGGTGTCAATACATTGCAACCTGATACAAGATTGTCAATTGTTTCTGAATATTTATCACAAAATCTGCATTTTGGGCTAACACAATTTTTTTGTGTGTGCTTGGTAATTTCTAGTTACCAAGTATTGGTCCTGTGCAGCAAGAATAAAAACTTCGATTTCAGATTTTAACCCTGCACTACATAACTACTGATGGGTACGAGGTTTTTCTACATCAGCTTATTTGGTACGGGTAGAGTATTGACCATGAAAATGCTTATCCTGTCATTGTTTCTGTGTTTAGTACATTGCATTTGCTTTTGCTTTTTAGGTTCTTTGCCACTGCAGTAGTTGCATTATGGTATATTTTGAACTTCTTCACCCACTTGAAATTCCATTTTGCATTTGTTGGCTTCCTTTATTGCTGAATAAAGTTTCTCATTTCTTTCAAGTTCTTTGAGGTTATATAAGCTTAGTGACATTAAAATTTAAATTGCTTTATTACCTGAGTTAGAAAGGCTTCAGTTTAGGATTTTAATAAAAATTAAGATGTAAATATAAGTTTTAATTAAGATTTCACCATTTTAAAAAAATATAACTTAGTAATTATAACATTTTTTGTCTAAAATTTCTGGGATGTGGAGTTATCGTTATTTACACCATTTATATTCGAACTCAAAGACGAGGGCAATAGTCCAAATATAAATAGTGTAAATATTTTAAACAAGTTTGACATAAAATATCTTAAATAAGTCAATAGAAACTAAGAAATAATTTCACTTAAAAAAAGAGAAATAAATAACTTAAGAGAAGAATAATTTATAAATAATTGTTGAGAATGATCTATTCAATATGCTATTAATTACGTTATTTCAAAAATGAGAAAATTTGATACAAATACGCCTCCACAAATGCACACACATACAGAATTGTCCAAAAGTTCAGTTAGTTATGTGCCATGCGTGATACACGCTTAAGCGATCATGCATCTTTTGATACATGACTGACGAGGCAGATTTTTTTCCCGCAGTAGGTTGCCATTTCTTTCTGCGGTAGATCAGTTGCCATCCAAGTCTATAGAATCCGATCTATTTACCCATAGCTAGCGGGAGAAGAAGAGGATTCATAACTTTCCCAAGGGTATTAGCACGTAAGTGAATGTAATGGATTCGACTGGAATTCGAACTCGGCTCTCCGATCCCTCAATCCGCTATCCATTACACCACCGTGCATCCATTATATGTCATATAATATATGTGTATATCTATTTCTGTTCACCCAGCTCTTATGACAGCTGTAGGTGTTCGTCCTGATAACCTTTTGCGGGTTAATCCTATGAGTCCCAGAAAATGAGTTTGTACTTCAGAATGTGCATGACACTGAAGCGTTAGACTGTAGTTGACGTTTATGAGGTAAGGCTTCTTTAGAGTGATGATTTTTTTTTTCACCGAATCTCTGACTGAATAACAGAATCTTTGATTAAATTTTTTTTTCTCCTCCTGGGATCCCTGTGTAATTTACAATTTATACGCATCAATAATGAAAAGGATATATACCTAAGTATATAATAGATAAAAAGCGAATAATTTATTAGTATACGTATTTAGATATATATAGATAGGTGTGGAGGATGTAGTGAGAAATCACTCTACCATATTTTCTCATATCAGGCATGGTTATGTACAGCTTGCAGAGATTAAAGAAATTATGACTTAACTTCTGCGGCGAACCTTGATAGGATATATATATATATATATATATATATAGAGAGAGAGAGAGAGAGACAGACAGAAGGAGAGACAGACAGAAGGAGAGAGAGGAGAGTGTGCCAAAAATGTACTCGCTTTTTTACTTCCTTTAACACTTATTTATTGATTTTTTTTAAATTTTTTCAGATCCATGCATTTAATTTCATTTAATATTTAATTTCAACTGTTAATCTTCTCTATAAGTCAAGAAACATTAATATTTCTTAATTTTAACCAGTAATCTTGTTTGTAAGTCAATAAACACTGTATTTATTATTATTTAAAAAGTGTGTACATTTTGGGCTAACACCCTATATACATATAGTCATTATGGTCAGTGTGGAAAAGCCCTTCGGAGATACAAAGATAAAATCATAGGTAAATTTTTAGGTCATTTGGAGTGTGTTCAAAAACTTGGAAGAGATACGAATGCTCACATAACCACAACTAAGTGAATTAAATAATAATAAACAACAAATAATTAATGAATAAATACAACATACTCTCAGTAACCAATACTAAAAGTTAACAAATTGCATTATGCATTAGCTACAAATAACAGTATTCTGACCCCATTCTACTCAATAGAATTTAGAATGATTTAGAATAATTTGAATTATAACTGTTACTCAATAATCGTTAGGATGATACAATAAACCGGAAATGCACGAACTTGCTTAGCCAGCATATATAAATAGTCGGGTCAGCACACTACAGAAATTGCCTGAAGATTGCGTTCAAGCATGAATCAGACTGTCGTCACTCAGTGTCCACTTACACACGCGCACACACACACGCACACACACACACATATACATATATATTGTTATCAATTCGCAATGTATAAAGATGTAAAAAAAAAAAGAAAAAGGTGGGTTCGCTCAGACACACGAACATGTACGGACGAACAACAAACACAAGATTTTGTAAATAAATTTTATATAAGAAAATACAAAATATGGGAAAAGTATGGAGTGACAGACGTACAATTGATAAAAGAACACTTACCTGATATTGGATGCCAGTTCAAACGTTTGTGTTTAAGGAATTTGAAATTCGAATGTTCATAATGACATAATTAGTGTACTGATCACAAGGAATAGTAACAAAAGTCCATACGACATTCGATTCGATGGCTCGTTATTCAAAGTACCGTCATAATTTGTGAATAGAACTTCATGTATATATATATATATATATATATATATATATATATAGATAGATAGATAGATAGATAGATAGATAGATAGATAGATAGATAGATATATGCGGGGAGTGAAGCTAATGAGACAGCCAAAAAACTATAAACTACGCATTTCGCTATAAATAGGCGCTCGCACGTGCGTGCTTGCGTATGTCTGTCTATATGTGTTTGAATGCTCATATATGTGATAGTCATATGCTTTAGATTGAATGATTTGCAGGCCAAACTTGCAGGATTTTCAATTCTCAGTAGGAAGTGTTTGTGGGTTTCAATACTCCAGCGTGTTTAGTGAATAAGTCCAGATAAAAAAAAAAAACTCTTCATCCTCCTTTCCATTTTCACTTCTAACGTTCAAATTAATCCTTTCTATCTATCTATCTATCTATCTATCTCTGTGTGTGCAGGCGTGTGTATCTCTCATTCTCATCCTGAGTGGCTCTGTTCATATTAATCTCAATCTCATATCACTATCTTGTTTGCTTGATCTATTTGTTACTGGATCAATTTGTTATATTTTTTATTTGATTGCTCTGTATTATCTACACTCTTTCTTCACGTCCTTCCTTATTATTCCATCCTTCATCTGTATATCAATCACTCTCTTGATTTCAATAGCCACTATGGCGTTTGTACAGATTGTTGTGTTAATGTTTCTAGCGGAAGTCTTCACGGGAGTCAACGAAGCGCTTGCATTAAAACAGCCTGTGTCAATAGAAGGTCAGATTTCAATCAAAGCCCATTTGTTATATGTTTGTGTGGCAATAAGTCTGTCAGAAGAACAGAGGACAACGGTAAAGATGGGGTTAGTTATCGTATGATCGCTGTTGACATCAAATTCCTAAAACACAAAATAATTCCAGAAAACGTTTCAATTTCAACAGAAAACAACGTAGATTTCCGACTAAGTAAAATAAGACAAGAAATAAAATATCAGTAAAACGTAAAAAAAAAAAAAGAGTAGACATTGGGCATAGCCTTCAATAAATAATGTTTTGCTTTATTTAGGCTATTTAATATTAACGAAATTTTAGCTTAGTTGTTTAGCCGTGAGCAGTCATTCGTTCGATCATGTAAGTTTGATTAAAGACTTGATAACCTCGTTGGCTATTGTTATGGGGTCCACCCCTTTTTCATACAAGTGGACTCGACCAGTATATACTTGGACTGCTGCCATTAAATACCCAGTGTCAGTCAGTCAGAGAGACAGTGATTGTGATTGAGTTGAAGGTAGAGTAATAGTGTGAGGTAACCGTTTGTAGAAGTCACAGTTACAAGCACGTAGACTCTAAGGAAGTTCCACTTCGAGACTGAATTTACCAGACTGTATATATATATTATTATTGCTACTAACCGCGTTTCTGGATTTACTAACCGTATTACCAATTGTATTATTGTGTAAATACATTTATTTGTTATATTTCATTCCTGCGTTTGTCATTCATTGGAGGCCAGATTTCATCTCGGAATCCACAACAGTTATGAAAAGCCTTTTTCAACCGGTTGCGGTAAGAGACTCGAAAATAAATAACCATCACCTGTTAGAACAGATCGGTTGATTAATTGATCGATTAATTTTTTTTTTTTTAACAGTTTATCAGCGTTTTGCAGGTCATTTAAAGCTAGAAAATATTTTTAGATTGTAAGAATGTTTTTAATGACATAATAATGACTAACGGATACAGGTCCTACTAATTATCCCATAGCTAAGGATATTTGCGCGTAGGTGAATACAACGAACCTGACTGGAATTGGAACTCGGTTCTCCGATTTCTAATTACGATCCGTTATCCGTTACACCACCCACACATCTAAGTTTAAAGTACCAGGTATTCCCAAGTGGTCACCAATCTACGTACTGACCAGGCTCGTCGTGGCATAACTTCGGTGATCGTACTGGAACCAGTGTTTCAAGGTGATATAGCCGTAAACACTGAAATATATCGAAATCATCAGTCACGCGTGATACACGCTTAGGCCATCATGTATCTTTCGGTACATGACTGACGAGGTAGAATTTTTCCTGCAGTAGGTTGCCATTTCTTTCTGCGGTAGACCAGTTGCCATTAAGGGCTATAGAACCCGGTCTGTCCTGCTATTTACCCATAGCTGGGAGAGGGGAGAAGAAGAGGATTTACACCTTTCCCAAGAGTATTAGCATGTAAGCGAATGAAATGGATTTGACTGGAATTCGAACTCGGCTCTCCGATTTCTCAATCCGAACCGCTCTGAAAATACCAGTCATTTGTGGATTAAATATTGAGCTACATGGACAGTTTTATTATATCAATCCAATCGTCATTTTTCCAAGGATTCAAATATTTACACTTAGCCGAGTTAGAAGAAAAGCTTTAAGCTACATTTCTTTGAAACAAGTAAAAAGTAAAAAAAAAAAAAAGTAGTTAAGCAGAAAGCGTTTCTCTTAAAAATAATTATGATATTTACACACCTCTGTTGAGATTTTGGGAAATGAGTTGGCAGAAAACTATCAGCATCCGCTCTTATATTATCTTTGTTTTATCTCTTTACATGTAATAAACTGTATTAACACTCTCACAGGCATGCCATATTAAACTGAGGTCTGAAAAGCTGACGTTTTATTCGGTGCAATTACTTTAACTGGGAAAGTATATTTATTATTATGCAACATCTCATAATAATTTTGACGGTAACAGTTTGTACTACGAAGTGAAAAGGCTTGCTTTTAAGTTTTCATACGTCACAAAAACAATGAAATTTAGTCAGCTTTTTTCGTATTGCTCCAGTAAGTATATAATTACATTCTTAGTAATATTTTCACCGGAAATTTCAGTGGCTTTCACCACACACACACACACACACACACACACACACACACACACACACACACAGAGTGTTTTTTACCTATAAGTGTTACCACTTTATGCTTATTTTATACTTACTGCGTAAGTACGAGCTGTTTTCATGCTAACGGCAACTGATAATTGACTGTCGAGTATATATCGCCAATGAAGTAAACACTTAAGACGGCACGTGCTTGTGATATTCACTATGCCTAGTAATAGATTTATTAATGTTTTAAATTTATTATGTCGAGTAATTAAGTTATTAATGAAAGTAATACTTGAAATGTGTTTAATTGTAAAAAAATATATATATATATATATATATATATATATATATATATTATTGTATACTCATAATGAATTATAAAAAAGGATGCAATATCAAAGTTTAAAAACATTACAAAAAAGCTTCTATGTAAGTGAATCGGTTTTTTATTTTATTTATTTTGGGGTTGTTCCTCATTGGAATCGATCTCGATCGCCCATCTCGAATCTATGATACGAGGCCCCTCCCCAATTCTACTACACCTCAGTTTTCATACGGTCAGTCAGTTAGGTACCATGAGTGATACACGTTTAGGCGATCATGTATCTTTCGATACATGATTGACGAGGCAGATTTTTTCCCGCAGTAGGTTGCCATTTCTTTCTGCGGTAGACCAGTTGCCATCCAAGGCTATAGAACCCGGTCTGTCCTGCTATTTACTCATAGCTGGGGGGGGGGGAAGGAAAGTATTCATACCTGTCCCAACGGTATTAGCACGTAAATGAATGTAATGGGTTCGAGTGGAATCCGAAGCCGGCTCTCCGATTGCAATCTAATCACGTGCAATAATGGATCATATGCAATATAGGTGAACAATTCAACTAGAAAAATTGAAAATGAGCACAATATATCTAAATACAAATTAGATATACATGTAATTATACATCATTTCATCTTAAATAAATCAAACACTGTTTTGCGGTAACTTTTAACATCGACTTGAGATTTCCTTGTTAAAAAGAATTTTAACACATTCAACATTATGGATATAAAAATAGTGAATTTTATATTGTGCTTTTTTGAGACTAAGTATAAGCAAAACAAATTCACGGATTTGAACGAAAAAAAAAAAAAAAAAAGACCCTAGAATGGCGTAAAAGTTCGTGAAATTTTTCATCTTTTAATAGTCAAATGTGTCTATTTTAATTTGTAACGTATATAAATGTAGGTAGAAAAAACAAATGTTAATAAGATAACGAGGGTCACAAAGCACTGCCCGAGTCCCCCAGTCAGTCTTGCCCCCCCCACCTCCGTTTTCACGCCGTCCCTGTATTTGTATCGGTTGAGTAAACTGACACAATGTATCCAATATCCAGTGTCGAAAGGACTCTACACAATGACTTAGACCCTTGCAGCCGCTTTGCGACAAATATAGTTCTACAGAAGGATGCTGAGGATACGATGGATCGAATGTGTGAGCACCGACGACGTTTTAGAGAAAATGAAAACAAAAAGGAAACTTATACATCACGTCAAGAAAAAAGACAGCTGACATTTCTAGGGCACTTAATGAGGAAAGACTACTTGGAAAATCTGATACGCACAGGACAGACTGAAGGCAAAAGGGACAGAGGAAAACAAGAAACTTAGTGAGCTTGAGTAAATGGATTGCGGAACAGGATCTAGAAAAAATAACAAAAAAAGACGAAATTTATTAAGAACTACAAAGGACAGGAAATTGTGGAGAGCCACGATCGTCTACGTTCTGAAGAGACACAGTGCATAAATAAAAAATAAGTTAGCCGAAGTCTTGCAAAACATCAGCAATTTATTTTGAGAAGAATTTATATTTAATTCTTTTTTTTTTTTTTTTGAAGCCCTGCTCATCTTGTGTGTGTGTGTGTGTCTGTGTCTGTGTGTGTGCCTGTGTCTGTGTGTGTCTGTGTGTACCAACCTGCATAACGTCCTTGTTGATATTTACCAAGATATTCTTAGTTTGGCACAAGGCCATAAGCATTCCCCACTCAGTAGTAAATGTCAATCAGATTAGCTCACTAACCATTATTCTACGTCTAGATGTTTTATTGTTCATTTGGTCAACTTCTGTGTACAATTATTTCCTCAGCCGAGCATAAGCTTATAGTTGTAGAGAACATTTTGAAGCTCGCTGTTCATACATAACTTAGTCTGCATGATAGTCATTATTAGCATAAAGATAGGCATCCAGTTTATCTGTATTGCTATGTATCCGCTATATATAAAAATAAAACTATGATAATATAATTTTAACTCAGAAAATTGAAATTAATAAGAGAAAAAGATTCTCTTATGAAAAATACGACTTCCACTAAGACCGTTTCAAAAAAATAAATAAATGTGAAATTCTAAACGAATTTACTTTTAACTCAAAGATAAATTCCAACACATACCTTGACTTTTCTCGAATTAATAGTGGTCATTAATTCAGTAAATGCACAAAAATAGAAAGATGTGTATGTCAAGGATGTGTCTTCTCATCAGACTTATTCAATCTTTACAGCGAACTGATGCTGAGAAAACTAGAAGTCCTACCAGGGTTTATTATTATCAGACACAATCTTAACAACATTAGATATGCAGATGATAGCAGTCACAGAATGGAAACTACAGGAACTCTTGCAGAATGTAGTAAAAGAAAGTGAGAATTAATTAATTGATTCGTTCTCTACGGCTTATCAACCCTTTGCAGGTTATTTAATATAGAAAATATTTTTAGGTTGTAAGAATTATTTTATGTTAACAATCATTTAGTGATACAAGTCTTACTAATTAACCCATAGGTGGGGGAGAAGAAGTGGATTCGTACCTTCCCCAAGAGTTATTTACGTGTGAGTATAATGAACCCAACGAGAATTGGAATTCAGCTCTCCGATTAACAATTTCGATCCATTATCTATTATACCACCCTCACATCCAAGCTTAACGTTTATTCCCAAACGGTTACCCATCTAGGTACTGACCAGTCTCGACGTTGCTTAACGTGATATAGCCGTAAGCCGAAAATGGGAAGTAAGGACTAAACATCAATTGTAAGAAGACAGAATGTATGGTTGTCTGCAAAAAGAAACTCGAAGATACGAAACTAGACTTGGAGATGCCAAAATCAAGCATATATGAAAATTTAAATATCTTGGAGTGTCACCGAAATCCGAAGCCTTGCTGGAAAATCGAAATATGCCTTCCAAAATCTAAACAAAATATTGAGAAATAGGAAAACCGAGAAAAGAATTCCCAACTGTTATTTAATATCAATCATTTTAATATGGCAGTGAGTACTAGACAATCTTGTCACAGACGAAGCCAACAGAGATGTGGTTCTACAGACAAATGCTGAGAATAACATGGACTGAACATGTGATTAACGAGTAAGTTTTAAGGATAACGGAAATAAAAAGGACAAAGACGTAGAACCAGAAAGAAATGTGTAGCACATGTAATGAGAAAGGAGGGCTTAGAGAATTTGACACTCACAGAGCATATTGAAGGTATGAGGAATAGAGATGAACTGCAAGTCACCTTCCTAACGAATTCGAAAATAGTGGAATGAATAGTGAAAAGACTAAACAACGTAGATTTCCGACTCAGTAAAATAAGACGTGAAATAAAATAAGAGTAAAATGTAAAAGAAAAGATAATACATTGGGCATAGTCTTCAATAAATAATGTGTTTAGAAAGTTGTGAAGAGCCATCATAGCCTATGTCTTAAATGAACACGACACATAGAAGAATTACTGTAATTCCCCGTGTATAATACACATTTTTTCTAAAAAAAAATAATAAGCAAAATCAGGGGTACGTATTATGCGCAGCTACAAAAAATCTTTAAAACATCGGCGTTAAATAAGATAAGACTTATCATAAAACTAAATTAGAATAATAATATTCTATGTTTAAAAACAATTTTTTAATAAGAATAGGAAACTGGCCGTAATGAAATTAGAGAGGTAAAATTTATAAGGTTTACCAAACAAGGGGTGCGTATTATGCATGAGTGGAAGCATTTTCCCACAATTTCGGCACAAATTTAGGTGTGCATGTTATGAATGAAGGCGTATTATACAAGGAGAAATTACAATACT